CGTCCTTGGGAGAATTGAACCATGATTTACGATCGATATTGAAAACATGACACAGGAAAAAAAAAATTCTAAATTGTAATAGTGATGAATGTAAACTTCCTTTTAACGTAAACTAGCAACTTGAATGAAATGTTGCGTACAAATATGGATGGTTTCATACAATATTACAAATATTTCATTAAATGTCTCATAAATTTACACGATCTATAATGTAAACCAATAATTTTTCTCACATTTACCACACATTTGCAAGCAAAATTGTCACACTGGCTCTGATGTGTGAGTGCATTGAAACTGAGTTAGGGGGAATGGCTCTAATGTTGGTCTATGGATCTAAGATTGGACCCATCACCAAAAATCTGCTGTTGATCAATTTTATCTCGATGAACGCGTCATTGGGACGGTACTAATGGATATTTTTGGTTGCTATTGAAAATTTAGTCGTTTGCTGAATTAATATATGTTTGGGCCCATATAGGGGCATTTAGGCCGACATTACATCCATTTCCCCTATATAGATGTTTCATAATCTTGCTAGAAAATCAGTCTGAAAAATAATCGGTCTATCGGTAAACGGTAATTTTGAAAATCTAAATAGTATAAGTCACCAGAATCTCAGGATAATGTTGACTCATGAACGATAATTAAAATTAAATGTAAATTTTAAGGTCACGCTAAAGGTCACGAGTTCAAATCTCATCCCCGGACAACAAAGAAAAGTAGTACATTTAAGATGAAAGGAATGAAAGAATGATCTCAATGGCATGGTTCAGTTCATATCTGCTGTTTTTTAAGGTGGAAGCAGATGTTGTACATCACGGTGTTGCGTGCACAGGGTGGGGATAGATGGGGCAATTGCCCCATCTTTTATAAATAAGATTTTTATTTCCACATTTACAAAATTATGATATAAAATAACTTGATTTCTTAATACCTTGATTTGAAGGTTAGGTTAGGTTATTTTTATTAGCGAGACTTTCAGCCAGAGGCTAGTTCATCTCTTCTTGATTGGAAGGTAAAATAACTTCATTTCATAATATAAGGGCACTGAAAACCTTTTATTGGGTCAATTCCTTTCAGATGGTGCCTGAAAATTGCACCACAAAGGTGCATGAAGGGGCAAACTTTAATGAAGTGTTTTGGTCAAAAAAATTGCACCACAATGGTGCATATAATAAATTTCTGGAGTATTTTTTTTTCAAGGTGGTTTATGTTAAAAGAAGTTAAAAGAAAAATTTCTTGTTAAAAGAAGAGGCTAAATTTAAGGTTGATAAAATCCACCTTCGTGGTGGTAAATCGAAGAAAAACAGGGTGTCTACTACCTGAAAAAACCTGGAAAATCGGGAATTTACAGGGAATTTTATTTTTTCTGGAAAAACTTGGAATATTCAGGGAATTTTGGTTCCACTCAGGGAGTTCTCCAATTATCACTTCATTCGTAATTCAAAAGAAGTTTTTCGTTCAGTTTCTTGAAACGTTTCTTAAGGGCACTGAACTGGACAAGCATCTGGCGAAAAATACTTTGAAGATGGGCAAAACGAAGCGAATGTGCTGGCGGAAAAAATAATTCGTTACAATTTTGAATAATTTTGTTTTCTATTTGTTACCACTTTCTCTAAATTGAACAAATCAATAACAATAAAAACACATGTATCTCAGAGAAAATTTTGTTGGTTGGGGAAGTAATAAGAGATTTTAAAGATGTGAAACCATGATTTATTCGGTCTCGATCTTCCAAACAGAGTTAGGCTCAAACATATTATCAAGATGATATTTTGTTTTTGAAAGCATAAATTTTAATACATCGTTTTATCGAAATAGTATATATGGGGTTTCCAAAACACAGGTTTCTTACTTGTATTTATATTCTTGTATTAAAAAAATACTACACAAATACCAAAAAAAGAATGTAATATTTATCGACGTAATGCATGCTACTGTATGAATAACTAATGTGATTGCAAAACCCAAATACAATATTACACCCATGGATATAATTTCTTTTCGCAAATTATGTGTAGGATAAATGCACCAATAGTGGAGGTACTTTAGTGTAATCTGTTCCTATGGTGGCTTATAGAGTCTCCCTAAGCCGCCATAGAAGCACATTGCACTAACGTACCTCCACTATTGGTGCATTTACTTAACATAAATTGTACAAATTAATATTAAACAACTTACACACTTGGCTTTTTCTACCAAGCTCGGCTGTGCAAATCTCGACAAAAAAAGTTTCACTGAGATAAATATCTTGGAACTGTCCTAAGAATTCAATATGATTCCATAAAAATTCTGCAAATAATTTCTTGTGAATCCTGCAGATAGCTCCAAGATAATTTCGAAAAGAATACCGAGATAATCAAATTTTGAATGAAATTCCAAAGGGATGTTGAGGAAAATTTCAAGGGAATCCCGAGAATAATTTCAAGCTCATTCTTGAAAATAATATCTGGTGAATACGGAGGAAACTCTTCTGAAACTTTAGGAGAATTTCAATTCCAAGGTGTTCTGAGAATAAAAAGTTCTAATATATTCGAAGAAGAACCTTAAGGATATTGAATTCTTAGGACAGTTCCAAAATATTTCTGGGGAGCATTCGAAGAAAATTCTGTGGATAATTTCTAATGCATTCTGCAGATAGTTCCAAGATAATTTCGAAAAGAATACCGAGAAAATCATATTTGAGTGAAATTCCAAAGGGATTTTAAGCAAAATTTCAAATGAATTCAGAGGATAATTTCTAGCTCATTCCAGGAAAAATGTCGGAAACTCTAAATGAATGTCAGTTCCAATAAGAATTTCAAAAGAGCTCTTAGGAGAGTTCTAACAAAATCCGAGAAGAACCTCAAGGATATTGAATTCTGAAAGGATTTATGGGGAGTATTCCAACAAAATTCTGCGAATGATTTCTAGTTAATCCTGCAGATTGTTCCAAGATAATTCCGAATAGAATACTGAGAAAATTAAATTTTGAGTGAAATTCCAAAGGTATTTTGAGGAAAACTTCAAGGGAGTATCGATAATTTCTAGCTCATTCCGGGAATAACTTCTGGATAATACTCAGGAAATGCTTCTGAAATTCTAAGGAAATTTCAGTTCCAAGGTGTTCTGAGTAAAAGTTAAGAAGAGTTCAAAAAATAATTCCAGAGGACTTCTGAGAAGAATTTCAAAAAAAAAAAGGTAACTGAATGTAATGTTGCGGAACATTGCAAAAACCTTGCGAGCAGTTGGCGATTGTCATTAGGTATATTGATAATGATCGGCTGACGGAAAGATTCGTGGGTGTGGGACGGGTGTTGAAAACAGACACAACGACCATCTTCAATACTATTGCTGAGGTCCGGACAGCGATGCAGATTTCTTGGGAGCAGGTGATGGTAGTATGTTTTGACGGTGCCAGAACAATGGCTGGCAGCACTGCTGAAGTACAAGCCAAGTGCAAGGACAAAAACAGCAATATACTTTTATTAAGAGCTTTGAGTGTGTTAGTTTATTTCCTTTTAATTCCGTTATGATTGCTTATATTTTGACAGATACTATTATGCTTGCAGACTTCATCAGTGCCAAGTACTTAACACCACAGACTGATCAAGATTGGATTGATCAAAAGCAATATACTGTTTGTTCACTGCTATGCGCACTGTTTGAACAACAACATTGCAGCCACTTATTTCATTTCGGTTAAAGCCCTACTATCGCAACCATTTGACGAACCGATCATCATCGACATCCTCGATGGGCTTAAATTGCCAATTTCCATTTGCTGTCTGAAAGGCATTGAAGAAGATGAACCACCACCGGAGAAAAAATTAAATAAAATTAGCAAAATTGAACAGTAGGGAAACAGTGGTGGGTGGACAGCACCATCCCCCACGCACTTTGGAGTACTTCCCATCCGCAGATTAAAGAACAAAAGAAAAAAAAATTGCCCCTCCTTAACAAGATTCCTGTGCACGCTAGTGGTTAATTGTGCGATCCGTACAGATTTTTGTTTTTTGTCTTTGTTTGGGGATTTAAACTACAAATCAATGGACGCAGATTTGAACTTTTGTAGCATATCTTATTAATCTAATAGTGTCTAATTAAACGTTACTTCACATGAGAATCAATCGCTGTTTAAGGAAGCAATGATACCTAATAAACGCTGAATAATCAAACATTTGATCGAATAAGCTTTGTTGTGTGTAACATCACTAATCCATACATAGCCAACCATTTCCTCATAAAAATTGTATTACCCACATCTCTTCAGTTTATGACCGATTTAGATAAAAAAGCTCCCAATAGATCAAGAATTGCTTCTAATTATTGATATCATAGTGATTCAGTGCAATTTTTGCTGCACTTTCAAATCCGTGGCTTAAAAAATGTTTGACCTCAGGAATTGTTTAAATATTTTGAAAATTAATCTAAAATTTTGGACAACTTTTAAACAATCATAAATCAGAAGCAATTCCTGATCGATGGGAACCAATTTTTACCAAATCGGTTAAGAACTGATGAAATGGGAGTGATTAATATTTTTGTAGGTATAATCCTACATTTTGAACTTTGAGTTGTCACTATGAATATGCTGAATTCTTATGTTTAATGTGAATTTCTTTTAACACGGTCCATCATAGAATGTATCCAATTCCATAATCGACCCCAGGACCACAATAGGCCAATTTATTCTATAATCTGAACTTTTCATCGTTTAAAGAACTTTTTTTTTCTAATATTGAAAAAAATCCCAATTCTCAATTGAAGCTTTCGAAAGAGTCAAAGTTAAACATTCAAGCACGAAACATGAAAGCTGTGCTGAAAATTGCTTCTCTCGACAGCGCGAGAGCACTGCCCGACCGACAAGACCAGCAGAGAAACAAGCGGCACCAGCATCTCCGCCGTCTTGTGCGCCGTTCGGTTCGGTGGTTGCTAGTGTTGTGTTGTTTGTGTTTAATTCTGTGTGTTCAATCGATGTTATTAAACTCGACGTATCCGACCGAACTCGAATCAGTCGAGTTTCGAGTTTCGCCGAGGCCAGTCATGGAAAACGACTCGTGAACACGCGCGCGCCGCACTTCGAGCCATTCAAGTTTGACTTTCATGCAGAGAGTATAATGTAATAGAGGCTCTTGCTCGCGAAACCGTGCGAGGCAGCAACAGCAATAACAAAGCAACTTTAACAAGAAAGCATAACTTTAACTGCTATCCAAAGGCAAGCACTAAGAGACATACCGCTGTTGGAGTAAATTCGCGAGTTTCTCGAGTGTAGGAGCAAGCGGATATAGAGATATTACCTTACATTGTGTTTATATATATTTTTGATTGCTGTTCGGGCTTATTCTAGCGAAAGTAAGCATCTCTCGATCTGACTTTGATCATATCCGTGTCGTTGCTTTACGTTGTTTTTGGTGGCATTGTCGTACGGACATAACTGGTAGTGGAACGAGAATTCGATGTGTATGTTTGACAAAGTTCTGAAGATCGCTCTAAACGAGTTTCCAATCGAAAAGTTTTTGACCTACATTTCGACGTGCATTGTTAGTGGGAAGTACCTACAGCTTTGAAAAGTGGAGAAAATTTTGGTAACCGGAGGGATTTCTGTGTTGAACACTGTGTTCTACCTAGTGTAGTGCAATCGGACGAAACCGGCAAGTGCAGTAGTGCGCGTATATATATTATAGAGTTGTAGCTACATGTATCGAAAGCCTCCCGATTGATTGAGGCGACAACCGACGGCGAGACGTGTGACGTTCCCTTTATTGGGATTGGCGGAGGTGGTGCAAGTACCTACACTGTACACACTAGGCGAGGAAGTGGACCATACGGCAAGAAAAGCTGACTTGCAAGCAGTTGCGATTCGCCGACGCGCGACGTTGTAAAGTGGTAGGTTATGAACACAGCAGCAGCAGACTGTCATTTTTTCTTTGCTATGATGCTTTGGCGACCTGACCGCAGACCGACGACAGACTGAAGAAGGTGTTGCATATACAGAAGGCAACAGATTATATTGGAACGTGTTTATGTTGTCGCAAAATTAGGCGGTGAGAATTATACAGCCATGATTCGTTTTACATGGTTCGTTGGCGTAGAAAGAATCGCGCTAGTGATAGCATATCTCTATCAACAATTGAAAAGGGCCTATCAGCATCATTGGGTAGGAGAAACTTTCCCCTATACGATGTTGCCATTTATTTGCGTGGGTGGTCTTCGGTTTGCGAGAAAAGGACTTACAAAGTGTTGTTTACAAAAGCTGATAGACCCTCTTCAATTGGTGGTCGAGATATAATACTTCTTATGGGAAATGAACAAATTGGTTTGTATTTTCATATAGATCTAAAGAGCACAGGACTTTTTCGGAGTCGTTAGATTCATTTGAACAAATATACTACAAATATATGTTGATGATAAAAACTCATGCAGTAAGTTAAGTAACATGTGCTACATAGTGAGACGGACCCATGAATAAAAAACATCACCTTTACGCATGACTTTTGTCATCAGCACAGATTTTTTCTCTCGATTTCGTATAAGGAAAATAAATTTACATTGGATTTTGGTTTCCATTGTAACCTGTTCCAATATGCAGAAACCTGAGGTAATTGTTAGTGCAAATATCGTTCCACGCCATTGTACAAAAACAATCAGCCGAACTGACAAGCAGATCCTACATTGATACCCGATTACAAGTTGAACGTGTTTCGAAATGTTAGATTTGAATACAAGCCTTCCGCCATTACTTCTAAAGGTGAATCCTCCGTCATGGTCGACTTGGCGCCAATTACCTCAACACGAGATTCGCATGTATTTATTTGCATCAAACTCGTCCGTTACCCTTTGCGTTGACCAAGATTTTGGCAAAATCGTCAAAATTCTTAATTGATCGTCCCTTGCAGATCTTGGATCAGCGAATCTCTCGCAAAGATTGTCGATATTGGCGATATGTAGATACTAGCTACGCCCTTGTTGAATAGCTCAATATTATGCGTCCTGGAAAAATGTTGCTCTTCACTATCCAGAGATGATGCTGTTGTTAATGACGTAGTGAATGGGATTTCCTCAAGGCCATGTCAAGATGTAAATGGCTGTGATTCCATGATGTTCATGACAGACGGTTGCACATCTTGTTCCAAATTTCCAGCACATGATTGTTGCCGGGGTTCCATTTTGTTTGAATTCAAACGATATGTATCACAGAGATGCATCCAAATTAATTTTGCACTCCATAAATTTTAGTTTTTCAATCACCTTTCGGATAATTCTTGAAGCTTTGACGGACACCGTTTATTAGGAAATGGGTTTCAACGCTGGATCATCTTGAATTTTATATTCAAATTATACTTGTTCACTCAAAAATATTTTCTTAGTGATGTCCGTTTTCGACAAAGAAAAAAATTATGAATTTTAACCATCGCGTAATATCTACCCTCGTTTAATTTTAAGCTTAGGTTGGCCTAACAACGAAATGGTTTGCAAATTGCACGACTGATTTATGCTAAATCACGCTTAAATTTACATGAAATATCGTGTAAATTTGCACCATTAACTACGTGTGCCTTATATATCGCAGAAATTTGCGTGAATTTTTCAAACGGTGAAGCGTATAATCAATTTTATATACAAGCGTTGGTACCTATTGGATATTCAGGTATAAAACTTGTTTTAGTTAACTTTAACAACGAAGCTATCTTTTTCATGAGAAATACCATGGAAGACATTCTAATGTGGGGCCTCCCTTAGCTCAGTCGATTAAGCTGTATAAAGCAAGACCATGCTGGAGGCGGCTGGGTTCGAAACCCGGCCCGTTGTTGGAATTTTGCGGGTTTGAAAAATCCTTGACTTCCCTGGACATAGCGTATGATTGAACTTACCACACAATATACGAATTAACAAAATGGTTCCAAATTGGGTCTTGATTAGCCTCCCAAAATTTGAACTCATTTTGTAAAAAACTGACTTGGCACAAACCATTTGAAGCTTAAATTAAAGGATATTACTATGGAAAAATCAATGTTTTTGTTCATTGTCTTTAGGCCTTTTTTTTCATATTAAACTGTTAAATAGTTCTAGGGTAGAGCACTACTTCGTCGTAATCGCCCATTTCCGTTTTATCGATCAGAAAGGATCAATAATATCAATAATTTCACGTGATTTCACCATGCACAAATCAATAATAGGTTTGTTCCGATGCATTACTTTATTAGCTACAACATAAATCCTATTAGAGCGCATTGTACCAATATGTACGCTATTGTTTTCAAAACAAAAGAAGCTCTCCTAGCGAATCTCATTTTTCTACGTTTATCCGTAGGACGAAGAAAATCTAATAGCGCTTCAATTTAAAATCAAGAAGCAATAAACAACAATTTGTGACTCTTTATTAAATCCAACGGTTCGTATGGAAAGGTGACTAAATTTATGACTTCTAAACAGAAATATTCCATTTTTTGTTCAAACTCGTTAAAAAAAAAGATAAAGCGCGGGTTGTGCTTCGTACGACGGAAATAAGATCAAAAACCCTATATATTTTCTAATGGGAAATGTTCTCAGCTACAACTTTGCGAATGATCCTTTTTTAGCGAAACGTCAAATTAAATAATTATTAATTGTTTAAGATATTGATAATCTTATGGCATGATTGAACCCAGCCCTGCTGGGGTGAGATTTAATCACGCTTAGGACTATACCACTGGCGCCGCTAGTTCGTTATATTCATCTTCTTTGGCTGTTACGTCCCAACTGGAACTTAACGCCTGCTCTCAACAATTCCTAGACCGGACCGGGATTCAAACCCAGCCGCCTCCAGCATGGTCTTGCTTTGTAGCTGCAGCCTTTACCGGCTGAGCTAAGCGAGGCCCCTAAGTTAGTTATATTCTACATAAAAATATATGACTTACAGCATCTCAATCCGTTACTGCCCAATTTCACTTCAATATAAAAGGGAAACTGCAGATGTGACTCGCAAGGAATATGAACGGATTATTACCGAGATAAGCAACTTATTGGACTTGTACATGGATAGAATTGAATGACACGTTTTTTTAAACTCTTTATTTGTTCCAAATTCAAAATAAATTACATTTCATTTTAACCTAGGTGCTCCAGTTACTACAGTAACATACCAGCCTTAATTGTTATGATATATATCTAAGTGTTTTTACATTGTTCCTGTCTTGGCAATTCAGTATTTTAAACAGGTTTTTTTAAACCTGCATGTCAGTATAACAATTGATATCTTAAAACTAAAAACTAAAACTAAATATTATCTAAGTATAAAGGGAATTAATCGTTGCAATTGAGGATTGCAACGATTTTTGCCTGAAATTATTAATTATTTTGTTGGACATTTGTGCTAAAGTCTCAACATTCGAAATTCTATGTACATACTTCGGTAGTACTGTACCAGGGAGGCAACTTCAAAATCATCTTCAGAACTTTGTTCTGAATCCTTTGAAGTGCTTTTTTCCTGATAGTGCAACATCTAGACCATATTGGCACAGCGTAAAGCATGGCCGGTCTAAAAACTTGTTTAAATATTAGAAGTTTATTCGTCAGGCAAAGTTTGGATTTCCTGTTTATAAGAGGATACAAACATTTTATAAATTTGTTACATTTGGCTTGAATGCCCTCAATGTGATCTTTAAAAGTTAATTTTTGGTCAAGTATTAATCCAAGATATTTCACTTGATTTGACCAGGAAATTGGAACTCCGTTCATAGTGACTATGTGACTACTACTAGGTTTCAAAAAGGAAGCTCTAGGCTTATGTGGAAATATTATAAGTTGAGTTTTGGAAGCGTTGGAAGAAATCTTCCATTTTTGTAAATAAGAAGAGAAAATATCTAAACTTTTCTGCAATCTGCTGCAAATAACACGAAGACTTCTTCATTTAGCGGAAATGCCTGTGTCATCAGCGAACAAAGATTTGTGGCAACCCTGAGGCAAATCAGGGAGGTCCGAAGTGAAAATGTTATACAATATAGGCCCAAGAATGCTACCCTGAGGAACTCCTGCTCTAACAGGTAGTCGATTAGGTTAGGAATTTTGATAATTTACCTGCAGAGTTCTGTCAGTTAAATAATTTTGAACTAATTTCATAATATAAATTGGAAAATTGAACTTTTTCAATTTAGCAATCAAACCTTCTTGCCAGTGACTGTCGAATGCTTTTTCTATGTCTAGAAGAGCAACTCCAGTTGAGTGGCCTTCAGATTTGTTTGAACGAATTAAATTGGTAACTCTTAAGAGTTGATGAGTAGTTGAATGCCCATGGCGAAATCCAAACTGCACATCTGATCGTCATCGTATTGATGTGAAGCATCATTGTATTCAAAATTATCTTTTCAAAAAGTTTACTTATTGAAGAAAGCAAACTTATTGGACGGTAGCTAGAAGCTTCAGCTGGATTTTTATCCGGCTTCAAAATTGGAACAATTTTCGCATTTTTCCATTTATCAGGAAAGTATGCCAAATGGAAACATCTGTTAAATAATTTTACCAAGAAAGACATGGTACTCTCTGGGAGTTTCTTTATGACGATATAGAAAATTCCATCATCACCTGGAGCTTTCATATTTTGAAACTTTTTAGTTATAGACCTTACTTCGTCCAAATCAGTCCCCCAGGAATCATCAAAAATATTTTCCTGAGAGAAAATATTCAGATAATCCCGAGCAACCTGATTCTCTATAGGACTAGTAAGACCCAAACTGAAATTATGGGAACTCTCAAATTGCTTAGCAAGTTTCTGAGCTTTTTCCAAATTTGTGATCAAAATGTTACCACCTTCTTTAAGCGCTGGAATAGGCTTTTGAAGTTTTTTCAAAATGTTTGTGAGTTTCCAAAAGGGTTTGGAACTCGGGTCTAATTTAGAAACATTGTCTCCT